AATTTGGGACGTGTGAAAATTTGGGGGTGGAGGAATTTGGGACGTGTAGAAATTTGGGGGTTGAGGAATTTGGGACGTGTGGAAATTTAGGGGTTTAAGAATTTGGGATGCGTGGAAATTTGGGGGTTGGAGAATTTGGAACGTGTGAAAATTTGGGATTTGAGGAATTTGGGACGTGTGGAAAGGGAGTTGAAGGTTCCGGCACGTCTAAAAATTTATGGGGTTGAAAATCACAAAATTCAGAAACTTGGAGAATAGTAAATTTGAAAGTATAGAAATTGTGAGTAAATGGAGATTTAATTTAAGAATTTGAGGGGCTGGAAACATAAAAGTTTAGAACTTTGGTGATTGAAAATTTGAACGATAAAAAACAAATTAAATCTGAAGACTCGCGAAGAATTATCAGCGATAAACAGCATTTAACAAGGACACTTAATGATTCTCAGAGTTATGACTTGTGAAGGATGTCAGAGATCGTTCAGGTTTAACGACTTCGATCGGAGAACCGGAGAGCTCGCAGAAAAACAACGATATCCGCTTTTCATTCTTGAATCGAACCTGTTTTCTGATGCAGGCTTTCGCGCGGTGCCATCTTCATTTTTACAAATCAAAAAATTCTTCAATTCCACAATCTTAAGAACTTCATCTAAAAATCCATAAATATCAAAATCTGAAATTTATCTAATTTTTAAATATAGAAATTGTCTACTTAGCAATTCAAATACGAAGCTTGTTCCAATTCCTAAAGAGCACTTCTCGCCATTCGGGAACGTGGAATGTAAACTCTAATGTTGCTAAAAAAAACGGATAGAAAAAGTGTGTCTCGTGGAATGTTACATGGTGACCGATTATTCGTGTCGGGCGTGTTTGGATCTCACGGTGTATGACAGAGAAGTGTTTTGGTAGTCGCGAACCGTTACATCGGATTCCAGTTGAACGATTCGTCAAAGTCGCCAGACGGCGTGGGTGACTGGTTTCCGGTGAAATTTAGACGATTGTCTGTCCATAAAGTGGTGTTCAAATCTCTACTTTGAAATAATAAGTATCAATCATAGTATGGTTCAATTCAACCCCTTTGCACTTCAATGTCTAGTGTGTCTCCACATTTCTTTTGTATCTTATAATTCAGATAAACAGATTGGTTACATATATTGTCATTTATTTACTATTTATAGTAAAAATTAAAGAATGAATTTGTCTTATGATTCACACTGTTCGAATACATTTTATTGAAAACCCTTTGTTTGGTGAATTTTATAAATTGAAGGTGTGTCTCCACATTTCTTTTATATCTCATAATTCAGATAAACAGATTGGTTACATAT